TATTACCTTCCGTGCTTCTGGACGAGCGCTCCTCTCAAAAAGCACTCTCACAGAGTCCATAGCGCGATGCAGGCTTGGTTGCTGATTGCTTCGTCTTGCGTTACTTATCGCTCTACGTAGCCCAAGTGATGATGGGAAGGTATTTTGAAACGTCACAACATTGTTGGGTACGGCTCCATACGTCACGACTGCATAGCGTACGTCATCAATCCCATAAGCCTTCACTATGTAATTTAGAGTCTGTTTCATYAGGTCGAAGTTGCTGTCAGCATTTCTGCCAGCGATCGCGCTGATTGCAAAGGCGATGTCCAGTACTGGGATGGTGGGAAGCCCTGACAGTTAAGAATAATGACTCGGTTAGCTGCATGTTAAAGTATATTCAAAGAAGGATAGAAACAATAAATAACGCTTGTTGGTTTTTGGGAGGTATAATCACACTTGATATACTACTCACTTATAAAGGCAAGTTCCATGATTTTCTTGCCGAGTTCTAGAGGATCTTCTGAGTTCTTTGCTCTAAGTTGGTGATCTTCATTTGTGGCATAGTTTCCAAGCTCTTGAATATTTGCTTCATTGCCAAGGGCAACAGTAATGATTTTGATCTTGTGCCTCCTTAAATCTATGGCTGAAGCTTTGGCTTTATTGATGTCGCTTGTGGATTGCTTGTCAGTAAAGACAACCAAGACCTTTGTGGAATTAATAATCTTAATTAGTTTTTCTTCTTTATTAATTTTTCTTTTGTTTATGGTTTTTGCTCCTGACTTGGTCAAWGCAGGAGAACCTCTGTCCACTCCCCCGAAAAAAAAACATTATAGCCAAAACAAACATGACAAAATACCTTGTTAGCATCTGGTCTTGCACCTTCACTCTCAAACAACGTCTTTCCATCTTGAAAAGCTTCTAGAACGTTTGATCCGCCAGTCTTGGGCGACAGTGACAGAATAAAGTTCTTGAGTYTTTCATCAGTTATGAATTGCTCAGTAAACTTGACTTGAATTTGAGAATCTTTACCATAGACAACTACGCTATATAGAATACGACCACGCCCATAGTGATCAATAATGGAGTTTATAACAGTTTTCATTTGTTTGAAGTTTGCATTGGACGCCGCAGCAGTGGCACTGACAGCAAATACAATGTCTACCATGGGAACTCTGTTTTCTGGAAGTAAAGATCAATCATTCTAGATCAATCATTCTAGAATACATTATTTTTGGCTATCGTCGCCTGTTACCTTTTAGACCTTCTGATAAGATCACTAATGATCAATCATTCTAGAATACATTATTTTTTACTACCATCGTCTGTTACCTTCTGGACCTTCTAATAAGATCACTAATGATCAATCATTCTAGAACAC